TTTCACTCGGTTTTAGTCTCTGTGTGTATTTCACTCCAGGCGATATTTCTTAAGACCCTAGAAGCGCGTACACTGCCGCTTAACTGAGCAGAGCGCCTAAGCTTTGATTCCTATGCTTGCAGATATCAGATTTTTCCTTTACGAGTCCTCTCCCTGATTAAACCCATGTTATCTGAGCAAACAATGGACGCCTATCTCTGGTCGCATGTGGCATCTCAAGTAGATTTCTAGTGCATTTTGGGCATGACACCGAATTTTTGTGATGGTTTGCTTATCCGTCTGCCCAGCCCCCCAAAATTGTAATGGTTTATTCGAAATGGACATCACTCACTGACAACGTCTTCGCTTTATTGCCGAAAACCCCTGCCCCCCACTTCATCGCGATCCCTTTTCTTCAGGTTAGCGGAATATTCAGGTGGCCATGAAAGAGAAATCAACAAATTTCACAAGTCTACTAACGCAACATGAAAGGGTAGACGAATTTGATTGTTCAGGAGTTTACTGTATATCATGTGGCGCCTGCGAACAGAAATATATTGGCGAAACAGGGAGAAAAATTATCACATTAATCAAGGAACATCTGAGGCTCTGCAGGAAAATGGATACCGAAAGATCAGAACTAGTGGAACACATCGCACATACTGGACACAAGATCAATTGGAAGGCAATAGAAAGAAAAGCTCCATACGGTGACAACACATGAAAGCGGAATATTAGGGAGAGGCTATTGACATCCTTGGAGAGAAAAATCTAATGAACAGGAGATTGAAGGAAGGTAGAGTTAGCGATAGACTTTCATCCTGCCTAAGCAAACTCGATGAAAACAAGAATAGAGCAAGACCAACAAAAAGGAAACGCCTGGATCAAGGATCTACCGTGAACCGGAGAAAAATGGATCGCGATGAAGAAAGTGGAGGGCATGGCTTTTCGCCAATAAAGCGAAGACGTTGTCAGTGAGTGATGTCCATTTCGAATAAACCAGTACAACTTTGGGGGCCTGGTCAGGGAAAAGCTGGGTAAACGGATAAGCAAACCATCACAAAAATTCGGCTTTTTGCCCAAAATGAACTAGAAATCCACTTGAGATGCCGCATGCTACTAGAGATAGGCGTACATTGTTTGCTCAGATAACATGGGTTTAATTAGGGAGAGGACTCGTGAAGGGAAGGCCTGATATCTGCAAGTATATGAATCAGAGCTTAGGCGCTCTGCTCAATGAAGCGGCAGTGTACGTGCTTCTAGGGCCTTGTGAAATAGCGCCTGGAGTGAAATGCACACAGTGACTGCAACCGAGTGAAATCGGTCAACCAGGAGATAAGGAACGGATCTACGAGACAATGAGGGGATCCGGATTGAAGGGCTGATCCGGATCAGCCGATCGAAAGAGAGGGGTCGGGGCAAATAGTAAGTGTGATGAGGCCACACTAGATTTGCCACAAAAGGGCACACATTTTGACGAGTGGAATGTAAACAAGT